CTCTTAAATATTTTTTTAGAAAAGCCTGATTGAGATTCACTCAACGAGGTGAGTAAGCTTCTGAGGAAAAGTAACGAGACAGCCCAGAACGGCGTCATTTGCGCAAATCCAGAACCAACCAGTGCTAGCACAAGATTCGATGGCTCCTTCTTCTGAGGGATACTTGAAAGCGGGCTGAGGTGGATCAGATTCTTTAAGATGTATGTCAGTCATGCCATTACTTGGTACCATCAAGACGAGTCGTAATGAAGCTATCGAACACGAATTAAATCCCGTGGGTAAGGGCCTTTTACTAGTAACTAGCTCAGTAATAATGATAAGCAAATTGTTAACTGTAAACGTCGTAGAGTTGTGGATCGATGATTTTCTTGAAAACGATATGACCAATGCAAATGACCAGTCCGGTCATGACCACTGCCCGAGGATGGTTTATCAGCAGGTTGGTTAGCACGTGGACTGCAGATTCCACCCATTCCGGAAATATCGGCAATGCCGCCGTAAAGTCCATTTTGATTGCTTTCTAAATTAGATAAAATACTGCGTAAATAATAAAAAAAAAGATGTAAAAAAGAAAAACAAAACTTCCTTTCTATCAGAAGTCCTTTTCCGAAATTTTCGTAATAGCTGGACGTGTTTCTTCTGCATTATCCATAAGCGGTGAGGTGGTAATCCCTTCAGAAGACGAAATGAATGTCAGCAAGGCCAGCAGGCAGTGCAGCTCTGGTCAAAAGCAATAGTGGAAGTACAGAAGCTGCTTTCAGCTTCACAGAAACCGTATTGTGCATTAACAATTGTTCCATTATTCCGCCACATATTTACCATATAAATAACTAAACTGATGATCACGTGTTCGATGATCCCTCCATCTCAATACGGCCCCGGGTATTTCTACAACCCGAATTCGATGCTCTTGGACACCCTTGCATAAAAATCTGTTGACGTATTATAATAATAATAATAATAATACCCGCGGACCGAGTGAAATCTACGATTTCAGCTATTTTTTGATTATTTCAATATCACATCCATTAACTATTGGGCCTTTGTTTCGTTGCAAAATTTTGTGAAATGTTTCACAACATTTCACTCTGTGCTACCCTACCCCGCGCATGCTTGGTACCACTCGTTTTCGCCTTGAGTTATCTCTTCAAATTTAATCAAACGGTCCCAAACCGTTCCCTCCCACGCCATCCCTTTCATCCGCCGGTAACAACCTCAGCTGCTCACCAGCCGCATTTTCGCGCCAAATGTCTCTGGGTGTCTGTCACGTGTATCTCTTGCTGCCGGGTGTCTCTCCCTACCGCATGCTCCTTTTCGTCACATGCCTCTCCACGTCAGATGCCCTTCCCGCCAAATGTCTCTTGGCGCCAAGCGATGTGTGGTAAACAAGTGGGAGATGACGTCACACAGCGAGGGACCGCCCAGTCCGGCGGATTCCACGTGTTTTTTGAAAATTTTGTAAAATTTTTAAAAAAACATGGCTGGCAAGCAGCCGAAGATTATTACCGAGGGACAAGGAGGAGAGGCAGGAAAGGGGCACCGGGTGTACCCTTCCGTGAACTGTTACGGGGCTGTTCAAAGCGAATGCGGGACAAACGAGTGGTACCAAGCATAGTGGAGGGAATGTGAGTGCTATGTACAGAGGATGCAGTGCACGGGATGAAATGCGAGGAATTTTATAAAATTGCCCAGGAGCGTCGTACCAACTTTCGCTTTCGTATGGGTCTAACGTACGGACACGTGAAAGTTTTGGCGGAAATCCCGGCTACGAATAATTGAAGTTACTTGGTGCGAGACGTCGGGAAAAGACAGAAACAAATTAAAGCATTAAAATATACAAGTAATAATGCCTTTGGCAGTCTATGAATTTTTTTAAGTGAAAAACGAACAAGACAGATACGCTTGGCAAAACGAGCCACGGAGATGAGCGAGAGAGAGCCAAGCCGAGCACAGCCAGCAGGGCACAGACCAGGCGCACTCGAAATGCTCAATTTTAATTTGTTGCTCCAATTCGAATTTGCATTCTCGGATTTCCAGAAAATCAACAGCAGCTTAATGAGAAGATCAGTTCCCGTCGGCTCCCACTCCCAACCGCCACCCCCCTCTAAGCCGTGGACGCTGAAACTTTTAAAAAAAATTGGATTGTGGAGACCGAAATTTCGAGATCAGTTCATTCGAACAGCAAGACGCATGAAACGCTACCAAATTTAAACAAAGAAAATGGCCAAATTGACGTCAGAAATTGATGCAACAGTACCAAAAATCGTTAAACAGAAGCTTAGGCGTGGGGCCATTGAGAAC